TTTGACCGAGCTGTCACTTGGCAATTCTGGAATCCCATGTACAACTATAGTGTTGTTTCTGTTGGGATTTCCAACCGCTGACTTTCTCTCCTCCTCTCTTACTGACCATGGCTTGTCAGGCCTGGCCCGAATTTTACAGGCATTAACAACGTCCGGTTGTCGCGAGAGGAGGAGTGTGTCTTCAGCCTCTTTGGCGGTATTTAGGGACACACGTAAAGGGGGTGGCTTATCTCGGGGTGCATGGCTTCCTCGAGAAAGGCGACACAAAGTTGCAGGGAGGGGAGGGAGTCCCAGCATCTGACAGTAGTCGGTCCACATTCGGCTGTCAAATTGTTCCCTCTCGACCAACAATGAGTCTGTCGATACATCGACGTTGAACAAAATGATCGAGTTGGTCCTCCTGTGACCTGGGTTCGTTGTGGGTGGCACGCCCGACTTCCCAATGGGTTTGAGTAATTCCACTGGTTGTTTCTCAGTCACGGTGTGTGGGGTGTTCGGAATGGGTTTCGTAGAGGCTTCGGCGGTCGATGTCTTTGGCCATGCGCTTGACGTCCCCTGGGGCCGGGTGGGGGTATGGAGACTTGACCTAATATGGTCCCCACGCGAGATGGCGTGCCCACAGCTGGAGCTCTAGGTCTGTTTCCAGGTCTCTCTGTGTTATCCTTTGGTGTTAACCCTACTTTATTCGAGGATGCTGGTAGCTTTTGCGTGGCGGAGAGCATCTCCTTCAGGCTTTCTGTGCGGAGTGCGGGCATTTTCCTGCACTCTGGACAGATGTACCAGAACCACTTGCATGGTTGTCTCTTCATCAGCTTATAGTATTGTCGGGGGACTTTGGTATCGCAGTGGCAATGCACCCATCGTTGACACAGGTTGCATGCAAATGCCTCATCGACTACCGAAACAACTTTGGTGCAAACACTGCAGCCATCGGGTGTCGTAATACAGCCTTCCTTCCATGAATAAGGTGCTACGGATTGTGGCGAACTGCTTGTGGCTGCCTTGTTCTGAAGCCTTTTACGTCGTCTTCTATTTCAGGCATGGTATGATCCTTGCTCAAGATAGGACTAGTTTGTGACGGGTGAGTGCTTCTCTGTGTCACCTGTCTGATGGCTACTGGAATTCTAGAAACATGGGTTGGCCACTTCTTCAGAAGTTCGACGTTCTGCCCTACCTCTGTTTGTCTTCTAGTACAGACTAGTGTGTTGTTTAGGGTGTTACTGGCCGTTGTTGTGCACGACCGCGTTATCCGTGTCAAAGCTTCAGACCTAGCGTTTTGGGCAGACATGTCGCTATGATATAAACTTCTTGGGAAAACAAGTAGTTAACAACAATAAGAGGGTTGAAGACTGAATGCAGGAAAAGGACAGAATAGAAAAGGGAAGATAATTTATGTTGGCTCACCTTCAGACACTTGTCACTTGATCCTCTGCTCTTGACCAACGAGTTTAACCGTAAGCTCCAGATGCGTATGTATAACCAGGAAAGATATTTCCTGGGGAATGACCTCCGAGGAGAACCGAGAGCTAAGGCAGTTTGGCAGTTGAAACGCCCAAGAACCACTGACAGGAGGTAGACCGGTTGGTTCAAAGGAATAATAATGCCAATTTTCAACTGTTGAGGAGTGAGCTGACGAATGCGCAGGGGTGAGGTGCGTGGATGGACAGAAGTGCTGCAAACGTTCGATGTTTTTAGATTGAGTATTGCAAGTGGGAGTTTTTCATTGTGGAAAAATCCAAAAGCTGGGAGACGAGCGAAACACGTCACTACTCAAGGAGCGCGCACGCAAACTTCGAACAAACTTTGAAACAATCATAATTTTGGTTATAGTTATAATGCCGCTAGTTGATGAAGCAAAGGTCGACTTATAAGAAAAAATGCTTGCGCAAGATTTTCAAGTAGTTTATAAGGTGCATATAGATTAAAAAGGGGTAAGAACGTCAATAAATAACAAAAGGATTGGGTAGTATGAGTGGGACAAGTTAATTGGAGTAAACTGAAAATCTTTTGTTAAAACTTACTATTATTGGGGAGATCAGACGAAATAACGACGGTAACAACTACGCAACCATCTTTGTTGTCATTTGACCTTGTCAACTAATAACATTATAATTATAATCACCATTGTTATCAATAGTGTAAAGTGCATTTTTATTTGTGTAATTCCGGCGTAGAACAAATAACAAAATGAACAAATGTTTTTTATTATTCCCCAAAGTTTTGACCTTGCTAGGAGGATCCCCTTCAAGTGTATGAATCTGACATTAAGTTTTCCAGTATTATTGTTTCAACCCCATTATTCAAGTTCAGTGCTTCTCATGGGTTAGTCTTTAAATATCATATATACACGAATGTACACCTTGAGAATAAATTCGTTGAAAAGAGTCCTCTTCGCCGGATATTTCTTTTTAATGTCACAATGGGAATTGTAACTTATTAATAGACATCCGGGGACATATTGGCCTTTTGGATCCACTTATTTATAGGTATCTATTTGATAACTAGTATCCATTTGCTGATTCATCTTATCGAACAAAACCCTCCTGTCTTAAACGCATGCATCAAGGGCTTCACCTACGAAATGCTTACAGAGATACTGTTATAAGAACCTCGGTGGTTGTTGGCGTAAGTGTTCATACCGATAAACTTAATTAGACCTCCCTATGCAACGCAGAAAGTATCTACATTCCTTTCCATTGCATGCATGATACATAAGAAGAAGAATGCATGAGATTAACTGGCAGTAATCTTACACGCAGTTGTAGAATTTTTCCCCATTAGTCATATCAGTGGTCGCTCTCTGAACTCTTCCCAAAAGTTCTTAGTCATCTTTCGAATAAGCATTTACCACTTTGTCGAGGTTCTCTGCTTGGGATCTGACTAATGCTGTGCATAGCGCGGTGAACATGCTGCCATTCACTCTGGTGAAAGTGTCATGATATTGTGTGTTGAGATTATTGTCAAATTAAAATGACCCCAATGTCATTCGAGGCCGGGGCAGAGCAATCCCATCAATATCGTGGACGTTACAGTCTGCAAGCCCTCTATTTATGGTTATAAACTTACCCGTGGAGGTGGGCGTTTGGGCTTTTTTGACCTGGTCTGCTAACTGTTTGGGTTCATCTAAAATGTTTATTCATAACCGTCGTCTCCCGATTCTCCTCAGCCATCTTCACATCGGCGGCATCGAGAGTAGATAGATTTTGATATGCTCAGTAGTTCACTAATATATGGGAGAAATACCAGTGGGTTCAAGGTTGTACCTTGGGACACTGCTCCGGACCATCTACCGGGAGGGGATTTTGGAATCAGTCCTGACTCTATGTCTGCTATCAATAAGGGACTATGAAACATACTAGTAGATTGGTTCCTAAACTTTTCAGGTTCATGAGAGACCTGGATTGAGATGTTTTACTATGTACCACAGTGAAGTATATTAAAACAAACATTTGCGAGCCACATATTACCCTTTGACCTCAGTCAAATTCAACCTATCAGGAGAAGATTTTCAAGCATGAGAAGCTTCGCTGAAAGCCATGTGAACCTGACAACAATGTGTTGCTTTATAGGTGAACTATGCCGGATTTCCTGGTTACTTTAAGAGTAGAACTTGACCGATGTGGAAGCGCCTATTTCCGACCTAATTTGTCCGTTGGACACTCCTGGTTTCTTGACACGCATGTCAAGAAGATATTCAGCTGTATCATTGGCTGTACCTTAATCGTTTTCACTTAAGTGGGGATACCTTCTGTTACACCAGATATGATATTATAGCAGGCTTCGCTAATATTCATTAAGTAACAGAACGGTGTCTTTCGTCATCTAATCCAAACAACAGAGAATGCTTTTTGAAGTGCGTTCCAGATTAGTGAAGCTATATGACCATATAGGATTTGTCCTGGTGCGAACTTGACAGACGCAAAGACCAATCACTAATTACTCGGACTTGTTATATACCCATGACTACGAGACCAAGGTAGAACACGATAGCGTAGTCGGATGGAATAGTGTATTCGGATGGTTGTGCCAAAATACCGATGCGTTCCAACTAACTGGCTAGAGAGTCGAATACGAGCAGTGCAACGTAACGCGACAGCGTGCCAAATGGCGAGGATGCTTGACCGGGTGCCTTCGGCTTAGCGAGTCCAGTTAATTTATCAAGGTCAGCATCAATGTCGAAAGTCGTTAAACCCTAGGCTATTGATTTTGGGAGGTGTGTGACGCTACAAGTGTGGCGTAGTGCATTGCAGTGCGGTGCAGTAGTTCTTCAGGCTGATTTCAGGTTGATGAACGCCTGTCTTGCTTTCCTGGTCCTCCTCTCTGCCGCCACCCGCAGATGAAACGATGCTGCCTTGCCTAGGTATGTGAAATAGACAACCTCTTTTAGGTTTCCTCCGTTGATGGTGATTGGTGCTTGCTGTTGTTGGGTATCTTCATCATGTCTGTCTTCGTTCTCTACATTCACTTGAAGTCCCGTTTTCGCTGC